AAGTATTTTAACAATCACATGGTTTAGCAGTGAAAGTCATAAGAAAAAGAAAGTTTTCACCCGATTATATCTAATCCTGTGAAAAAATAAGTACACCCCGTTATGCGGTAGCTCATTGTCTATATGACCTTATCAGTTCTCAAATCATTGTGGAGAATTTTATCTCTTGAGTTGTTTGACAAATGTGCTTATGCAGAGTTCTCAGTTCAGTCAGGTTGAGGTCTGGACTTTGACTGAGCCGTTTTATCACCTTCATTATTTTCTTTTTCAGCAATTCTGCTGTAGATTTGTTGGTGTGGTATCAAGGACGTGTTGCATGACCTAATTTCACCCAATTTAGCGGTTGAGCAGATGGCCCCACGTTTGAGTCTAGCATATGTGGTATATAGAGGAGTTCATGTGTGACAATAAGTGTGAAGAGCCCAGGTTCTGCTAAACTAGTCTGAAAACTATTGTACTGTTTTCAGATTGTTCCAGAAGTCTTGCGGTTTGTTTCGATGCAACTTTACAAACCTAAGTCGTGCTGCCAATTTCTTTTTGGAGAGACAAGGCTTTTTCCTGGCAACCCTTCCAAACAAGCTGGACTTGTTCTGTATTTGTCTTATTGTACTGTGATGAGCTTTAACATTTAATATGCTAGTTGAGGCCTGTAGAATCTGAGCTGTAGCTCTTGGGTTTTTTGTAATGTGTTCGACCTCATGGCGTGGTCTGACCTTGATGTGAATCTCCTGGAAAGATTGTTTCGTTGCCGTCACCTGAATGCTTCACACCAGCAAAACGACAACGCCTGTGCCTTTATAGAAGCGCCCACACCTTCTGACGATCAATTAATCAAGGGGATCTGCTTCGCTCCTGATAGCTACCTACTTTCTTATTTCCTATGGATTCACTAAGGGTGTACTTAGTTTTTCACGGGACTGCATAGAGTCCTATGAAAACTTTCTTTTTCTCCTGACTTCTCAGGACTTCCCCTGCATGTCAGATGAGGAAACTGATAAGAAAAGTTTGGTGTCATCAGCACAGCAGCCATGTATGTGTCTAACAGCAGAAAGTGGTCTTTCAGGACTGGTGGTCTGGTAGCCTGATGTACAAAGCCTGAGGTACACAATCCATGAAGTGTGGAACGGAGG